TATTAAATTTCTCTTTATGTCGTGATTGGCATTTGACATTGGCAAAGCTATTCGCAGGAAAGTAACTTCCCCCTCCAGCACAGGAGTTCGATGATGTTTTCGGGGCCAAGATATGACAAGTCGCGACGGCAGCATCCCGAATATGTTGTAAAAGAAAAGTTGATTTAATATTTCTGTGCGGCAAAGGTGGCAGGGAAAAATTAAAAGCAAGATAAAGGGATTCGGCAGAGACGTTAAACGAAATGACTTTTGGGTTGTGGTGCGGTGCGGTGCGGTGTCGCACAGTGGGGCACATAAAACTTTTACCAGAGACACTGCAGAGAAGGAAGATCTCTCTTTCTCTTTTTTGGGATATGTGTGTGTGTGTGTGCGCATTACCATAAATAAATTATAACGTTCGCTACTTTGACTGGGAGTTTATAGCGTGTATGCGATAACTCACACACACACAGCCACAGACACACATGCACACGAACAGACATGCACAGACAGGCACTGGGACATGCATACTGTAACGAATTTCGGGAGTCTAGAGCGAGAGAGAGGTAGATATATGGCGCCGTAAATGTACGAACGAGCAGGGAGACAGATAATAACAGTTCGTAACTTGAAAATGAAAGGAAGGCAGGGAGCAGGAGGAAGTCACACGTTTTCCCCGAAAGCCGAAACCCGAAACCCGAAACCCATAGCTTAAGCCGGAAAGAGACAGTCTAAGGCAGAGAGCAGGAGAGAGGGAGAGAGAGAGCGAGACAGATATTGCGATAATAATTCACGGCATAAAAGCAAAACACAATGGCTCTTCGAAATGTAACACAAAGCCAAAAACGCAACGTCGCCTAAGGACGAGAACATATAAAACTTTTCCCACTATAATGGGGGCGTGTGCGGGCCGAAGGAATTGCAGCCAGCCGCAAAATCCTGCATACAAATTATGCAATTAGTTGGGCGGAGCGGGTGGTGGTGGCACAAAATCGAGACCAAGTTGTATATTATGTTCTTAAAAAACTAAAAGCTGAGCTAAAGTTTTTCCGGCGGTTATCAAATTCAGAAAATTGTCTCTTCGGCTGCCGAGTCAGCGATGAATCCTTGTGAAATAGTCAAAAAAGCACCGAAAACCCTCTGACAAATTGTCAGCGAAAGTTAATGCCGAGTCGAAGCGAAAGTTGCCCTGGAGTTGGGTCCCGTCTCCATGGGTCCTGTAAAGTTTTTGCGCTGACAGTTGTAAAAATAATATTGCGTATACGACTCGTAGCTACTCGTACGCAGTGCTTGCCAACGGCACAAACCAATGATGGAATAGATGGCCCTTGGGCTTCGGCAAACAATGTAAGCGGAGGGGAGCAACCAAAAATGATGCCTGCCAGAATGGGAGAAAAGTGCCAAAGTTTTTCTTTCGAGCAGCAATTAGGCGTTTAACTTGTGAAAACAGATCTGGCCTTAGAAGTGCCGAGCAGCACACAGACAGACACACATACACAGACACTGACACTCAAGTGGAAAACAAGTCCAAAGTTTGACAAGTCCAAAGAATCACAGTTGATTGGCTTTTCTGTTGGCTGACGGCACAACTCCAAAGGCATTTTCAAATAAATATCTATGCGCACATGGCTGTGCTCCCCACTCTCCACTCTCCCCCCACCCCACGCCACTTCTATGGACTGCACTCCGGAAAAGAAAATTAAATTTGTATTTGAACTGGAGTCTGCATTTTAGTGGCAAATTCAATTGCTGCTTCCACTTCCTGTTGCACTTTGTTACCGCCACTGCTCCTCCTCGCTGGTGCTGCCCCGCCCGCAACGCGCTTTCCACTCAGTTTCAATTAGATGTCTGCTGCATTTTCTGGCTGCTGCTATCTGCCATTTGGCTGGATCCCGAAGTTTATGCAAGAATTTCGCCGTATCTGTGCAAAAGTCAGAGCCAGAGCCAAAACAAAGCAAAAACAGAAGCCAAAACACAAGAAGAAGTAGCGGAAAATACTTATTGCACAAAAATAAACGGAACGGCGACTGCGACTGCGAGTGTATGCATAAAATGAAAAGAAGGAAATAAAAAGGCAAAGACGGAAATGAAATTGCAATCGCAGGGCAGGCAGACGACGCCAAGTCGCGACGACGCTTTGATGCAGAGAGAGAAACGAAAGTTTTCACTGCCTTTGAAAGTGTATTCCTATTTCTATTCCTATTCCTCGTAGCCATTTTTTTTCTTGACGGCAATGCCATTTCCGGCGCTTTCTCATGTTGCGCCTGAGAGTATGCAATCAAGTTTTCCACTGAAGAAGCAGAAGCAAAATCAGCACCAAAACCAGATCCTGGACCCCCAACGCCTACCCCTAACCACAAGGGCTTAATCAGGCAAAAGTTTCTAGAAGAATTCTGGGTCTGGGTCTGGGTCTCGGTCGCTCTCTGGGCGCTCTTAATGTCGCCCCAGCAGCCACCACACACGAGCGCTGCCTCTGCCTCTGCCTCTCTCTGCCCCTCCCCCGACAGAAGCTCATTAGTTTGGCGGGAGCAACGCTTAAGCTGAAGCTGGAAGCGTGGAAACTGTGCAGCTTTGGCGCTAAACAAGTTAATTAGTTTCCCCGCTCTCTCTCCCCTTTTTCGCCATTCGTTTTTTGTTGCCATGGCTTAGACGAATGGGGGCGGCTGGCTCTCTCGGCGTTAAACTTAATGACAAAATAAATTATTTGCCGCACACATAAGCGCCCTGGCGGCAATGGCGAAGAGAGAGACTTCAATTGACTTTATTAAGCGTGTGTCAGTGTGGTTTCTGTGTGTGTGTGCGTGTGGGGAGGCGTGCTTACGCCTTAATGACACTTTTCAGTCAGCTGCTATCGTGGCTGCAACTTACGTTTATTATCCCTCAGACAGGAAGCCCCATTCCAATCCCTGCCACCATGGGAGTGCTCTGTGTGTGTGTGTGAAATGAGAGCTCGACTTTGATCTATGGGATGTTAACCAAGCTTGAATACATCCTAGAAAGCCATTGCCATTTAAAATTGAATATCCCCAAAGCGGTTCACGTTCACCGGTCACCTGTCTGGCCCACTGTGCAGCTGTGTGGACATCAAGACAACAAGGCGTATGAAGCTACCATAAAACCACTTTGTTGTCCCGAAACCAGATACAGACACAAGCCTAAGCTCGTTTAATCTTGGATTTTAATTGCATGGCCATAATGTTTCCCCAAGACACTGACTGAGCCGGACCAGTCACAAGTAAATTGAATTTAATTACAAGCGAGTTTTTTCATTTTGATTGTTGGGTTTTATTCGTCATAAACTGGTCGGACGGGGCCGGGACTAGGCAATTGGCAATAAAGGATCCTTATGCCAGCCAAATGCAAATGGCGTAGCACGCTTATGGGGCAACAACAGGCAGAAGTATAGAACGATGGCAACTGCTAGAGCTGGTAGCTGGAAGAAACTGTTAAAGAAGACGCAGAAACTTTTCGTCAGGCCCTAATTAGTGGGAGTGGGCCATTAAAAATTTGCTCAGGTTCTTGGGGCATGTGCAGCCGAAGCTTAAAGTTTGGATCGAGTCTAGGGCAAAGAAATTAAAATTGAAATGTAAAAGTTGCCAAACTTTTCCACATCCCTCACGCATACGCATGCACACACACACACACACAGGTACCTACAGGCGTGGGGAAATTTAAAATGCAAAGCAGAAAGCTCCAAGGAAGCGAAGGAAAAACGACCAGAACTTGCGTTCAAGTGGGTTCGTGGCAGGTGGGCTGCAAAAACTTGCTGCATTAAGTGCACTTTTGCCAGGAGCAGACACACGGCGTGAAAGAGAGGGCAGGCGAGCAAGCGCACGAGAGAGAGAGAAAGAGACGGACAGAGGGAACTGCCAACTGCCGCCAACAGCTCATTAAAACTAAAAATGATATGCATTAAGTTGGCAGCCGTAACGAGAGCGTTAAAGGGCTGGACTACACTCATTATGCCAAACGGGCGGTGAGATCCTCCGCCACTAATGGTCAGTGTTAATTGTGTGGAAAGCATTTGAAATGCAGCCAGCAGTAGACAGTCACACTGCCCCAGAACCACTCTCAGACCCACTTCAAAACGTAATTGAAGCCAACGACATTCGCCTGATAAATTGTCATAATTCCTGGCCACACACCACACACTCACACACACACACATACTCCCAGAGATCTCTCTCCTGGCTCCCATCAATACATATTTCATTGTCCTGACACATGCATTAACATGTCTAATCGGCACGCACGGGTCACAGTTGCAACCAACACGGAAAATGGTATAGGATGGAATGTGATGGGATGGGAATGTGGCTTCTACGGGAGGGTTAGAGTGCACATGGCCATTATTCATTCTGCGGCCCAGCATAATTTATTGCCCTTGGCACCACTCACATGTCAGACATTCCAAAGTGCTGCCCAGCCGACAATTTGCAGTGAGTGACGTGCAAGTGCTTGCCACCCATAGCACCATCCCCATCCTCTCCACTCCACTCCCCGCCCACCGCCAGGTGAGGTGGTCTTAAAATTTATTTTGTTTGACTAACTGACAAAATTCTCTCCCACTTGTCTGGTCCACTTTGCAGTCCTGTCGCACATATGAGGCTGTCAAATCGATGACAGCACTCTGTCGTGAACATCAGGGCGTATGCGCTATGTGCATGTCCCGGCTGCACTGACCAGGACAGGCAGGAGTCTTCTGTACATCTTAACGGCTTCAAGGTAGACATCAGCTTGAGAACGTGTCGAGAAAGTGGCAGGAGGGGGTGTGTCTCATGTACTAAAAACTCAGACGATACCGACAAAAATTCTTGGACGTTTAACGAACAATCAACGTAGATTAGTTGCTCAAATATTCGTCTGGATTTTGCATATCTTAACTGCATACTCGCTTTATGGTATTCGGCTATCTAATCAAAAAGATCATCATGAATGGGCAACCGAAAGAAATGATATAGACAAATATAAATTCCTCATACCCTAACAGTTCTATAATCCTATTATGAGCTTACAACAACTTAATCTGTTCAGCGAATCTTTATTTAAAGATCAATCTTTATTACAAAAGAGGCTTGCACTTGGTATCAGCAATATGTTCTAGGCATTAGATAGATTTGGAATGATTTTCTTGTATACTTCGATGCCACTCAAGTATATATCCGCATGCAGAAACTCATCATTATCGTGGATCCTTAGAGTGGTGTTTTTGATGGGTGAGAACCCAATGGCCGGGACTCCTTTCTGGCGAATGTAGCGGCTATCGGTGGCACCCGGGCAGACGATGGGATGGACCTTTAATCCACTTTTAAATAAAAGAAAGGGATATTCTAAATTCATGGAAAATGCTCAACCGATACATACAGTTCATCGGAAGCTGCCTTGAAGGCAACCCAGAAAGGGTTCGATCCGTCTAGCTTCGTGGGTGCCACGTACGGCTCCTGTATGATGAACTCCAATTCCACGCCGTCTCCAGCCTCTTTGCACCAGTCGCGTAACTGCTTCTCGAAGGCCACCACGTCCACAGTGACGGCCAATCGAAGATCGAAGACCGCCTCGAAGAACGGGGGAACCACATTGCTCTGAACTCCGCCGCTCAGCTGAGTGAGATTCACGGTGGTGACATCACCTTTGCTCAGGGTCGGGTCCTTTGCCAGAAGCTCTTCCTGCGAGCTGCGATACTCTGTCAGCTTATTCAGGACATAGTTGAGCTTCACTCCCGCGGTGTTTGGCAGCAAGAGGGAACCGTGTCCAGAAGTTCCGTTGAATTTCAATTTGAATCCTATGAATGGGCGTAAAATCTAGTCCAAAAGGTGTACGAACGGTAAAATTAGTACTCACCCCATCGCAAACGTTCGGCATAAAACAAATGATATGTGTCCGTCTCGCTCGTAGCGCCCTCATCCAGGCTGAAGCCCACATTCATCTTCGCGAAGTACTCGGTCTTTACCAGCTCGGCCATTCCCAACTTGCCACCGATCTCCTCATCTGGCACAAAGGACACGTACAGAGTCCGCTTGGGTTGGAATCCGCTGGCCTTCAGGGATCGAATGGCACCAAGATACTGGGTGCCAACGCACTTCATGTCCTGCGTACCTCGGGCGTAGATCCGACCCTCGGCATCTATGTCGGCGCTGAATGGCTCGTGAGTCCACTTGTCAGGAAACACCGGGACCACATCCGTGTGGGAGTTCAGGATGATCGAGGGGAGTTCCGGCTGGCTGCCTTCCCACTTTATGATCACCACAGGCTTCGATGGAAGCGCAGGATACACCACATCCACTGGCAGATTCAGGCTGCTCGCCTGACGCTTAAGGAACTCCACACAAGCGGCTGAAAGTTATCGAGGATTGAATAAGGATTTATTAGATCAGCGATTGAACCCTTACTATAATCCACATCTGGCTGTACGGTTGGAATTCTTAAATATTCCCGGAATATTTTAATTTCCTCGTCATTCTCCCATTTTTTCAAACTCATTTTGAGGGTATGTTCTTGAAGCGAACTCTGTCACTGTTCAACGCCGAATGTGTCTGTTTCGACGCGCCGCTGCGTATTTTTATAAAGCCCATCATCCTCTATTGCTGCGGTTTCTTAGAGATAGTGAAATGGGGCTGTGGTTGTGATTATCTTTACTGTATCAACTCTCGACTACAAAAACCGCGATAACAGATTGCGGATAACAAAACTCTTGCTTCAGAGTCTACCAATTGAGATGCAGCTGTGGCACCCATACAAAATTGTAATAATAAGAATAAAACGACAAATTGCCTCTTCGAATACGGATAAACTTTATCATGAAATATCCTAGACATCGGCCACAGCTGGAATAAGTTTCTTGTACACCTCAATACCACGCAAATAGGTATCCGCTCGCAGATATTCATCGTGATTGTGCAGCAGCACGGGCGTGTTGTTGATGGGCGAGAAGCCGAAGGCAGGGATTCGTGCCTCTCGGATAAAGAAACTATCAGTTCCAGCAGGAAAGACCCTGAAGCGGGCTTTGAGACCACTGTCGGAAATAAAAACAATGAAAAGAATGACTCTCACAGCTATACATCAATACCCACAGCTGTTCGAGGGCCTCCTTGAAGGGCAGCCAGAAGGGATTCGAGGCATCTAGCTTTGTTGGCTCCACATATGGACACTTCATCTCGAAGTCTAGTTCAATGCCGCCACCGGCCTCCTGGCACCAGTCGCGTATCTGCTTCTCAAAGGCACCCACGTCGACGGAGAGGGCGATGCGAATGTCAAAGACTGCCTCCAGCAGCGGAGGGACGACATTGCTTTGGACGCCTCCCCTCAGTTGAGTAAGGTTTACGGCAGTCACATCGCCACTATCAAGGGATGAGTCTTCAGCCAGTCGTTGGGCCTGCGATTTGCGGAACTCCATCATCTTGTTCAAAACGTAATTAAACTTTTCGCCAGCCGTATGGGGCAGCAGCAGGGATCCATGTCCAGCAGTGCCACTGAACTTTAATCTAAGATCTGCCAAAGGAATGATTAATGAGGCAATTAGGAGTATGGTTTAGTCTCTGATATACTCACACCACAGAGTGCGCTCCGCATAAAAAACCGAGTAGGTCTCATCCTCGCTTGAGATGCCCTCGTCCAGGCTAAAGCCCACGCTCATGCTCTTGAAGTAGTCGCCTTTCACCAGCTCTCGCATGCCCAGGTCTCCGCCAATTTCCTCGTCTGGTACATATGTGAGGTACACAGTTCGCTTGGGCTGGTAGCCGCTGGCTTTGAGGGCGCGAATGGCACCCAGATATTGAGTTCCCACGGACTTCATGTCCTGCGAGCCGCGCGCATAGATCCTACCTTCGTTATCCATGAGTGCACTGAAGGGGTCATGAGTCCACTTCTCGGGAAACACGGGAACCACGTCCATGTGCGAGTTCAAGATGATCGAAGGGAGTTCCGGCTGCTTCCCCAACCACTTAATGATCACCGCAGGCTTCGTTGGAAGCGCAGGATGAACCACATCTACTGGCAGATTCAGGCTGTTCGCCTGACGTTTTAGGAACTCCACGCAAGCGCCTGCAAATCAACAAGGAGTGGGAGCGAGTGGTGTTGAGTCGTCAAGTAAAGCCTTACTATAATCCACATCGGGCTGCACGCTTGGAATACGTAAATATTCGCGAAAAATCTTTATCTCCTCGTCGTTCTCCCACTGCTTCACGCTCATGTTTAGGATAATCTCTCGGTGCTATAATGTGCAGTGATCTGCGATGAATGACAATTGCTTTCTTTTAATTCTCAGTTTTCTTTGGATTTAAGCTCTTATCAGCCGCTGACATTTTAACAGCTGATAAGACTGCGATAAGATAAGGCTCGGATCAGCTGTTCCATTAAAAATATCGAAATAACAGCGTTGATTTTGATTCGATTTTCAGAAAGTCTCCATTTTCATCTCATTTGGATGGGGACCGTTTCGGGAATTCAAAAGGATTCTAAAAGACATTTTGCACATTTTATCTTAGGGTTTTCAGATATTTATTATCATACAGAACAATTCTGACCACAGATTAAAAAATATTGTTTCACAAAGGAACTGATAGCAATACAAAAATGCCTATAGTAGCTATTAAATGCTTTAAACTTCTCTTTAGGTTATGGGGGACCATCTGGGAATCTAGGAATCGGCCACAGCGGGAATCAGTTTCTTGTACACTTCAATGCCATGCAGATAGGTATCCGCTCGCAGGAATTCATCGTGATCGTGCAGGAGCAACGGAGTGTTGTTGATGGGCGAGAAGCCGAGGGCAGGGATTCCAGCATAGCGAACATAGCGACTGTCGGTGGCACCCGGGAAGACGCGAACGCGGGTTTTGAGGCCCCTGAAAGAAATACAGAAAAGCAGACTAGAGTTACACCTGAGGCCTAGTGTCGGCAATTCTTACAGGTCGTCAAGGGACTGCTTAAAGGCCACCCAGAAGGGATTTGAGGAATCAATCTTCGTTGGCTCCACAAAGGGGTTCTTCATCTCAAACTCCAGCTCAATGCCGCCACCGGCCTCCTCGCACCAGTCGCGAATCTGCTTCTCTAGGGCTGCGATGTCCACAGTGATGGCAATGCGAATGTCAAACACTACCTCCAACAGCGGCGGCACAACGTTGCTTTGGACGCCTCCCCTCAGCTGGGTCAGATTAACAGTGGTCACATCCCCGATTTCAAGAGATTTGTCTTCAGCGAGCCGTTGGAGCTGTGATTTGCGGAACTCCATCAACTTGTTCACCACATAGTTAAGTTTCTCGCCAGCGGTGTTCGGCAGCAGGAGCGATCCATGTCCAGCAGTGCCACTGATCTTAAATCTGAGATCTGTGGGGAGTAGGGGAGTCATAGAAATACCGACTATCGATTCATATACTCACGCCATAGTGTGCGCTCCGCGTAGTAGACGGCATAGGTCTCATCTTCGCTGGAGATGCCTTCGTCAAAGCTGAAGCCCACGTTCAGACTCTTAAAGTAGTCGCCCTTCACCAGTTCCCGCATGCCCAAGTGACCGCCAACCTCCTCATCCGGCACGTAGGTGAGGTAAATGGTTCGCTTGGGCTTATAGCCGCTGGCCTTGAGGGCGCGAATGGCACCGAGGTACTGGGTGCCCACGCACTTCATGTCCTGAGAGCCCCGTGCGAATATGCGTCCCTCTGCATCCAGATCGGCGCTGAAGGGTTCATGGGTCCACTTCTCCGGGAAGACGGGCACCACATCCGTGTGCGAATTCAGGATGATCGAAGGGAGCTCCGGCTGAGTACCCTCCCATTTCATGACCACCACGGGATTCTTCTCGTTCACGGGATATACGACATCCACGGGCAGGCTCAGGCCGGCAGCTTGGCGCTTCAAAAATTCCACACAGGCGGCTATAAATAGCAGATACGGTTTACGGCAAGGTCATAAAGATCACGGGAGAAAGGTCTTATCGCGTCGCCGTATAGATAAATACTTACTGTAATCCACATTCGGATGCACCGTTGGTATGCGAAGATACTCGCGGAATATTTTGATTTCCTCATTGTTTTCCCACTGTGCGGCACTCATTTCGAACTCAACTAAACGGATCGGAGAGATAAGAAGTTAATAATAGCACTAATTGTTTGTCCAAACATGCGATCGGATCAGCTGTTCCTGTGGGGAAAACACGCACCTTCTCAACACTAGATCGTGACTGTGGGGCCGTGGTGGGGAGCGCGCGTTTAAATATCAGAAAACGAGTGTGGGGAAATTGAAAGTCAAACGCTTATCTGCTCTATTCGTTCCGTTTCGATGTGGTTTACCTCGTTTTATCAGAAGTCTGGGCTTACATTTTAGTTGATAATCTATTTTTTATGTGCATATGACTTGCAGATAGACATATGTACATAAACTGTGTGGGTTTTGGTTGTTGTACAAGTACTTTGCGTTTGTCGAACTAAATTGAGCGTTGGGCTACGCAGAGCAGCTTTGACTTAAATAATTCAATAGCCAAAGACTCTCGCTCTATGCCAAATCTGGGCTTAAGGTTTATTGGCTTAGTTTTCTCTGCTGGGAGCTGATTGATTTCCTTTGAATCACAGGAACTCCGCTCGGGACTTAACTCGATTGCTGTTGCCTCCGTTTGGCCCGCAGCCAGGTCCTCTGATTACTGATGAATCGCCTGCAATCGGATTCCAATTCCAGTTGATTTGTTAATCTGGATGCAAGGCACACACCCGTAAACATCTCGCCTCAACTGTCGGGCATGTAAACAAGTTGCAGGCACTTCAAATTTCGCATATTTATGCAGTTGCTGCTGTTGTTGCCGGTGCTGTTGCCACAGTTGTTGGTGCAACAAGAGCAGCTGCAGCAGCTGCAATGTGACGCCCATACGGTCGTCATCCCTGTGTGTCAAAAGTTTGTTTTAGATTTAGATTTCACGCTTGTTTCTATGGCCGCTCAACAAGAACCGTGCCGCCAGTACACCCAAACAGAAAAACAACATGCAACAGAAAAAAGTGGCACGAAATGAAAGCTGAAGCTCTGAAATTTGTATTGCATGCACACAGCACAGGGTCCCAAAGCTGATATTGTTTTAGTATGTGTACTCGCAAAAAAGTCATTAAAAGTTCATTAACAATGTTGCTGGGATTTTAATGGCAGGCCAGAGAACCCGCACCAGACCCAGAGCCAGAACCCGGAGCAATATGAGTAACAGCAGCAGCAACACCCATACAAACAGCAAGTGTGTCAGCTACACATGTCTGCATTTTAAATGACATACAAACACAACATTTGGATATATCCTGGCAGCTATACATATGTACACTTGTACACAGGCAAACACAACTATAAACATACAGTCCTCCTAAATACATATGTACATGTACATATGTGGGTTTTTGTACCCTTGGAGGGTGTATCAGGGGCTTGATCGGCTGCAACAACAGATGATACGGCCATAATTAAATATGCGAAGAGCTAAATCATTTCTCTAATAGTTGCTATTGGAGATTGGATCCGAAGCAATGGATCTGCAAGGGTATCCAATAATTCGTTACCCGACGCCAGCATTCTTCCCCTGTTGTTCAACTAAAGCTGTGGATGTGAATGTGGGCGTGGGCGTGGCTGTTTGCTGTGCTGACATGTTGTCGCCGGGCAAATAAAGTAAATGAAAATTTTGTATATTGTAACAATTATCCGAGCATCGCAGGCAACTGTTTGCGTTTACTCTACGTGGATTCAGATTGAGCCCCGCAGCTGTGTAGTATCTCCCCACTCGAACTGGCGATGGACAGAGATTGGAGCCACCCTAATCCGTTATGGGCACATTAGGGAGCCAAATGTGGCGATTCCCCCAAGAGGAAACTCAGATAAAATCAGCTGAGCCCGGCTTACCATTCCTGCCCGCACCATTCCTGCTCCAGCTCCTGCGGCGTGCGGGTATTACCTTTTTCCGTATTCCCTTTTCATGCTTGTTGTACTGGCACGCACCCGAAATCAGAACCAGAACCCTGGACAAACTATGACAGCATAGAAATAGAGGCGGCCAGAGGCTCAAGGACAATCCGGGAGGCATGCGTTTGCCTCGCTCAAAGAGCTTCAATTTGATGTGTTTTTATGGCTGTGTGTCGACGCATTAAGTACGTTTCGTTTGGGCCTCGCTGGAGTGTGTCTGCAAAAAAGCGCTGAGCTCTCGGCGAGCACTCTGCCAAACTGCACTCACGGCCGACATCGATATACAAACAGAGCTGGCTGGCCAACAGTGCGTATGGATGGTGTGCACACGGCTCTGCGCTGCTTTGGTGCGTGCAGAAAGCAAACTATGATGACAGTGCTTGAAGAGATTTGTATTCAAAAAGTTTTTGCAACTGCCATCAAAATGTGGAGCACTCGAGAGCACTGAAAGCACTGCCAAGGGGACTGCAAATTGGAACCAATACTCAGAGCTGGCCTTGAACATACGAGTACGAGTAGTTTAGGGTACTGTAGAACTCCCGTAATCGTAATCCACAACTATAATTGAATTTAATGACATTAATCGCTTGATGAACGTTCATGATAAACAAATCCTTTTGTTTGAACATTACCGCCGGATATACACATCAAATTTACATAATTCAATTCTTTTGACTCCTGTTTGCTATGGCCATGATACGAGTATGCTTTCATCGTTCAATTATGCAGCTTGCCATGGCCTGATGCAATAAAGCAATAAAGCAAATCAAATATTCATTGCAATTCATATGTGTACATGGCAAAACTATCTTTGACAGACCAAATTAAATGACATTCGAAATTGGTTATTGGTTTGTGAAGAGCCCCAGCTAGAGCCTGACAAAACTAGGTAAATAATTCCACAACTGCCTCTGCATGGCAATACCAAATATTTTCACTCAAAACCCATAGGTTATGCGAAAGTATGTCATGATTTTGAGTGGGTGCACCCCTCGGTGGAAGCTGTAATGAAAATTCTCTTACCGGGTATGAAAGATATGTGACAAAGGCAACCTACATTATTATAAAATGAATGAAAGAGGGAACCCATTCCGAATGACACAACACATACAGGCAGTAATATGGCCTTTGGTTGAAAACGTGTCATTTAACAGCATCTTAAACGACAGCAACAAGCTGTAGAACTTCCTTGAATGCGAAACCAATGCGCGACATGACACATAAAGAGGGCAAACAGTAAGAATGGAACCATCTCACTTGGCAATTACAGAGCCACAGAGATTAAACGAGGAGCAGTAGCTGGAGCTGGGAGCTGGA